CCCACTGCCACAGGGGCTGCAGCCTACGCCATCGCCGGCTACTCATGGCAGCCCAGCTCCAGGTTGAGCTGTTGTTCAGCATCTCAGCCGTGGAGGGCAATGTCACTGGCCCTCATATGTGGGATCTGAACCGGGGCCCTCTAGTGTCCCAAGCCAGTTCTTAACCATCACGCCACTCGGCCGGCCCTGGTTGTTTAATTCTTAATAGCCAAATTTGGTTTTGTGGGAGTAATCTGAAATGTACACATTTTTAAATCATATTTTTGAAAGTGGATTCTAATTCTTTTAGGAATAAGTACTGTCCAACAGAAATATAATGTGAACCACGTATGCAATTTAAAATTTTCTAGCAGACTCATTACACGAAAAGAAATAAGTGAAATTATGATACAGTAAAATGGACTTTTTTCTTTTGTTATTCAGTCCTGTGAATTTTAATACATATATAGAGTCTGGTAATCACCACAATCAGGACACAAAACAATTCCATCACCCCCAGAACTCCGTTGTGCTATCCCTTTAAAATCATGCCCTCCTACAACCGTTACCCCTGGGCAAGTCTTTTCCCTCATTGTAGTTTTGTCTTTTTAAGGATGTCAAATGGAATCATACAGTGTGCAGCCTTTTGAGTTTGGCTTCTGTCATTTAGTATAATGCCTTTGAGATTCATCCAAGTTGTATGTGTATCAGTGGTTCATTTCTTTTAATTGTAGTGTTTCATGGTATGAATATACCAGTTTATTTACCCATTCACCCTTTGAAGGACATTTGTGTTTTTGTGTTGTTTTCAGTCTTCAATCGTGAATACAGCTAATATAATCACTTTTGTGCAGATTTTTGTGTAAGCATAACTTTTGTTTATAGTCAGTAACGCAGGAGTTGGATTGCTGGGTTTGAAATTAGGTTTAGTAATATTTTTATTTAATCTATTATTTTAATAGCTAATTAATTTAAAAATCATTAATGAGATATTTCAAGTTCTTTTTTCCATACTACATCTTCAAAATCTTGTGTTTGGTTTTACACTTACATCTCAGTTTGGTCTGGCCACATTTCAAGTGTTCTATAGCCTCATTTGGCAGGTGATGACTGTATTGAACAACACAGCATAAGTAGCTATGACTATAAAGTTCTACTTTAATTTTTGTTTGTTAAATGTAACAAGAGGGAACTTCTTATTTTTGTATCATTTTATAATTGCAGTGTTAAACTTGTGTGTTTTAATTATGGTAACTGTTTTGGTAATGTGGGTTTTATTGAATGCTGATAATGCTGTCACATTTATACACAGTTGCTTGGGACCAACATCCGTTTTTTTTGGTTACATTGTTTCCTGAGGTAGATAGGAACAGGCTCTAATAGGGGAAAGTAGAGGTTCTTTTAGAAGGAACTGCTTCTGTCTGCTTTAGGACTTTCATGTTGTCTGGACAGGCATTGTGATAAATGAACAGGGAGCTCTTTATTTTATTTCTTATTAAAAAAAAATTTTTTTTAAGATTTTATTGGGGAATTGGGGGAGGAGAACAATGCTGGGGAATTGGGGGAAGGGGAACAGACAAGTTGCTGTCCTTTTGTTCTTCAGCCTAGTTGTGGAGGATGTTGCTTCACTGGCCCATGTTGGTATTATCATTGTGCTCTTCCCGGGTGAGGCAGGTGGTCGCCGGCTTCTGGACAGCCGCTCACAGCAGCTCTTGGCAGCTCACACTGGCTGCCGGCCGCTCATGCTGGCTGCTGGCCACACACATTAGCTTATGGGCAGCCCACTGCAGCAGGGGCTGCAGCCTATGCCGTCTCCGGCGACTCAAGGCAGCCCAGCTCCAGGTTGAGCTGTTGTTCACCGTCTTAGCTGTAGAGGGCAGTGTCACTAGCCCTCATATGTGGGATCCGAACCGGGGGGCCCTACTGCTCAGAGCTGGCATCCCAAGCTAGATCTTAACCAACACGCCAGTCAGCCGGCCCGGGAGCTCTTTATTTTAAATACATACACCTGAAAACTTTCTGAGGAGGGGAACTACTTTATTGCTTATGTTAATGAATGGCTGTTATTAGTGCTTACCTATGGTGGACAAATGCTTGGAGAATAATTATAGGTGAATTATGTGGTTGACTTTAGACTTTTTTTATGGAGAGAAGAGGAAATTTATGTTGAGCAAAAGCTGAAAATATGAAGACGGTCAGATCAAGGTGAATTGTTATCTTGGAAAAGGTAAAGATGAGCAGAGGTTGTTTGTGGAAATCTGGGTTAGGATACTGATGAGAATGCAGCTCCGAGTTGTAAGCAGTTACCTGGAATTTAGTTAGGCCCTGGCATTTTTGGATGGTGAGCAATTAAAATGGCCTTTGTTTCTGCAAAGATCAGTAGAGGTTAACGCATGAGTTTCAGGTATATGACTATTGAAAAGGAGAATGGAGGAAAAAATGATATTTCTTGGGTACCTCTAGTTCTAGGAACTTTTTGGAAACCCTAGCCTGGAAGAAAATGAAATCTGGAATCTGGCAAAAGAAATTCAAAGCTGAGGAAACATCTAGGTTGATACCTATTAAGTCAGCAGAAGATTTACTGCCAGAAGGGACTACCTAGATTCAAATGTTGGCTTTGCGCTCAGCAGCTGTGTTATCCTAGGCAAGTAATTTAGCCATTCGCTACCTCAGGTTTCCCATCTCCAAAACAGGGTTAATAGTCGTATCTATCTAAAGGCTTTTATGAAGAATAAAAGAAAACTTAGACCAGTAGCTAGTACCCAGTAATACTCAGGAAATGTGTACTCATAATTATTGTTATTATTGGCAAAGCTGAGCCAGTTAACTACTTAAACGCAGAGATATCAGAAACAAATAGATATCAGAACCCTGTAACACAAACAAGAGTCATAGCCCTCAGAGGAATAGCTTTAAGGAGTAAGGGCTATGGATCTTCATGTTTGGGAGTGAAGAATCTGAAAAAATTGGGGTGTCTCCCTTCCATGGGTTTCCCTTGTCTTTAACTCATCATTTTGTACGTGTTGGAGCACTTTCTTTTCTAAGGGCATCAGATGCTTCCTTTATCAGTAGCAACTTAGAGCAATATCTTTTGCTGGAACATTGGAATGCTTCTAATGGCAAGATTTGTTGGTACCAGACTGGTTTGTAGCTATGATTCTTGCCATAACCTAATCATTTGTGCTTAGGTTTTAGAAATCAGTACATTATGTTCTAGCATAGTGAAGAGTTGACTGTTATCTTAAATATTCTTTTACCTGGTTAAATAATTTGAAAACATTTTTAAAGCCTTTAGAAAAGGAAGAGACAAGTCATGTTGAAGAGCTACAATCGGAAGAAACTGCTATCTCTGATTTCTCTACTGGTGAGAATGTTGGACCACTTGCTTTACCAGTTGGAAGGGGAAGGTAAGTTTTTTCTTAGTATTGGGATAGGAATGGGGGTGGAGGGTAGGAATGAATTTAAATTGAAGCATTCAATGTAAATTGGGAAAAAGTATATGTCTAGCCCAGATCCCTCCCTCCTTCGCCCCCCACCCCCACCCCAATATGTATATCTAACTCTCTAAGGATAGCTCTACTTGACTATGCCATAGGTTTCCCAGACATGACCAGGAAGGCTGCAGTGATTTTCCCTTTTTCCAGTCCCCTGTACCATTTGTTGTTGTTGCTTCTTAGATGTTTTCCTTGTGTCTAACCTGGTTCCCCTCCAATCTCTTCCTCACTGCTGCCAGAAAGCCTGATTGTGTTTCTTCCCTGCTTATAAATCCCTCAGCAGTTTTCATTGCCTCATGATAACATCCAAATTCCTTTTGAGTGATACACAGGAGCCTTCCTTGTCTAGTCCAGTAGTCCTCCACCAGGGGTACCCAGCGGGCGTTTGGAAATTGCAGGGGTACTTTCTGGTTATTACAGTGACTGAGGGGAGCTATTGCCCTGGACCATGGATTGTAAATGTCCTGCAAACATGGGACTCGCCTGCCAAATAAGGGGTGACTCCACTCTGTTAGAAACCCTGCTGTCTCTGTCTGCGTTGCCAGCCTACTTGCTGCCTCCTCCCTGTGTAGCCATATGCAGTTCCCTCTGCCCAGCCTCTCCTACCTCCAAAACCAAAAAGTCCTTGCCATCAAGGAGTTCTGGAAGATATAGTCATATAAATAATAACGTTAGAGAATAACAACTATAATAGCAATACTCACAAAGTGACTTTCCTTCATGGTGGTTTTTGTTTGTTTTGCTTTGGAGAAGCTTCTAACATTTGTATGTAGTTAACACTTTCTTGGCTTCTTGATTTTCAATCATATTTGAAGGCCTTTTTTCTTTTCTCCACACATCTTAAACATTATTTATTTGTATTGTTTTCTCCAGCCAGTGTTTGTTGGGGTTTACCCATATGCTTATCATTTCTTTGCTCTCCATTTCTTCTTGCATTTCAGACCTTCCTTCTGGGATTATTGTATTTCCTTTTTGAAGTACAACCCCTTAGAAATTCCTTTCCTGAACATCTGTTGACAATAAATTCAGTTTTCATCTCTTTGGAAAAAAATTTAGGCCACATTTTTGGGTAGCTTTTAATTTTGATATACTTCCAAATTTACAGGACAGTTACAAGCATAGTATGGAAACTTCTGTATATCCTTAACTCAGATTCAACAATTGTTTACATTTTGCTGCATCTGCTTTGTCATTCTTTTATTTCTCCTGCTCTTCCTCCTCCTCCACTCCTACCATCTATATAAAATATACATCTCACACACAATTTTTTAATGAAATATTGACAGTATGTTGGAGACATTGTAATTCTTTACCCCTAAATACATCACTATGTATTTCCTAAGAACAAGTACATTCTCTTATGTAACCACAGAACAATGATCAAAATCTGGAAATTTAACATGGTTACAATGCTATTATCAAATTCACAGTTCATATTCAGATTTCCTTGAGTGTTCCAATGACTAATGACTTCAAGCATCTTTTCATGGGCTTATTGGCTCCTACTTCTTTCTTTTTTTGCCCAGCTTTATTGAGATACAATTGACATATCCTATTTATTTCCTTAGATTGATTTCACAATATGCTTTTACTTCCACTGAACCATATTGAACCCCTGCTTATAGTAGCTCTGATCCTGTCACTCTGTCACTTTCTGGTGCATGAGTCTTGATCTGCCTGATGTGTCCTTCTCTCACTTCTTCACTGGGTGAAATATTTATGGGCACTTTGCCACTTAATTTCCAGAGTTTTGTTTCTGGGACAATCTTCATGATATCTTTGGAAAAGAAAATTCTTGTCTGATTGGCAATCTCTACCTATAATTCATTCTTCTTACTCTTGTTTTCAAGGCAGTTAATCGGACTTTACACCATGGCTCACAATCCTAGTATGACCCATTTGAAGATTAGTCGGCCAGTTACTGCCCTTCCTCCCCTTTGGGTAAGGTGTGACAGTTCAGATCCTGAAGGGACCTGTTGGCTAGGAGCTGAGCCTATCACAACCAACAACAGCATTGCAGGAATTGTCTTATATGTAGTCAGTTGTAAAGGTGAGAGCTCACTCTTACTGCTTTTATGGGTGTGTGTGTGCATATTTATTTGATAGCTATTGTTTTGTGGTTTTAATTGAAAATTGGTATTAAGAAGGAGGTGCACACAATGGAGCTTGTGTTAGCTACCATGAATCTACTCTTGTGTGTAACTTGCAGCATCTAGGCGATATTCCAGAATCACCAGAAATAGATCTCCAAAAATCTGGACAAGAGTTTATAACTGTTTTGTTTGGGTTTCATTTAATTTGTATGTCTTTTTGAAAGTTTTCGTTCATTGGAGGATAAAAAAAATTGAATACAATAATATATTTCTAGTCTCACAGTAAGCATATTATATTTTTGGTGGTAGTATTGACCTTTGTTCCACTTTCATTTTTCTATAAAGATTTCTTTCATCTGTGATTTAAATTTTAATGTCAACTATTATTAGTATTAAGTTGTGGGACCCTCAGAATTTGAATTTTCTAGCGCTAAGATTATTTTGAATTGTACCTTTAAATTTTTTTCTTTCTTTCATGTCTCATAGCTGATAAAAATTATTCTGTAAATCTTGAAGACTTAAAAAATTCACATAAGAAAAGACATCACTTGTCTACTGTAAGTATTTCTTTTCTCATTATTTTCTTGAAACTGTTATTTACCTATCTTCCTAGTTTAATTTTTTTTATTCGTAATATGACTAGATATTTTTCTGTAGTATTGAAATGCTTGTATTTATTTTCATATTAGGTAATGACTAAAATTAAAATATGGAGGGTGCCAACAAAATGTATACACATTTTAAGAAGGGAAAAAAAACTGTATGAGGTCTGACATTTAAGTTGGCGAACTTGTTTCAACGATGTTGCTAACCTTTTTGGTAATCAGAGGGATTATTCATTATGAATTTGTACCAACTCGACAAACAGTTAACCAAGTTTACTATTTAGAAGTGCTGAAAAGGCTGCATGAAAAAGTTAGATGCCGGCTGACCAAGTGGCTCGTTGGTTAAGAGTTGGCTTGGACACGCGAGTTCTGAGCAGCAGGGCCTCTGGTTTCGATCCCACATGGGCCAGTGACGCTGTGCCCTCTACAGCTAAGATGGTGAACAACAGCTCGACCTGGAGCTGGGCTGCCGTGAGTCTCCGGCCATGGCGTACGTAGGCTGCAGTGGGGTAGCAGTGGGCTGCCATAAGATACGTGAGTGGCCAGCAGCCACCAAGGGCTGCCGGGAGCCGCTGGGAGCGGCTGTCCAGTGCCAGCGACTCATCTGCCTCGCCCGGGAAGAGCGCAATGATAACAATACCAGCATGGGTATTGTGAAGCGACATCCTCCACAACTAGACTGAAGAACAAAAGGACAGCAACTTGTCTGTTCCCCTCCCCCAATTTCCCAATAAAATCTTTAAAAAATAAATAAATAAATAATAAAGTTAGACAACCTGAACTTTTCGCTAGCAATTCATGGCTCTTGCATCATGACAATGCACCAGCTCACATGGCACTGTCTGTGAGGGAGTTTTTAGGCAGTAAACAAATAACTGTATTGGAACACCCTCCCTACTTGCGTGATCTGGCCCCCAGTGACTTCTTTACCTGAAGAGAAAAGAAATACTGAAAGGAAGACATTTTGATGACATTTAGGACATCAAGGGTAATACAATGACAGCTCTAATGGCCATTCCAGAAAAAGAGTTCCCAAATTGCTTTGAAGGGTGGACTAGGTACTGGCATTGGTGCATAGCTTCCCAAGGGGAGTACTTTGAAGGTGACTGTAGCGATATTCAGCAATGAGGTATATAACACTTTTTCTAGGCTGAGTTCGCTAAATTGTCTGACCTTGTATTAAAATTGTAATAATATATACTGATAACAAAAGTTGAATTTTGTCATGTTGAAGTAAGTCATGTGTATACATTTTTTTGGCACCCCGGTACATGCCTTCTGTCTTTTTAGCTAATCTTTGTGATTAAAAAATATTGTCTTATTTTCCATTCGGGATAAAAGTATGACACTTTTTCTTCTTTTGAGAAAAGAAAGTAGTTTTTTTTTTTTTATTGGGGAAGGGGAACAGTGTTGGGAGAATTGGGGAAGGGGAACAGCCAAGTTGTTGTCCTTCAGTCTTAGTTGTGGAGGGTGCAGGTAGCTCAGCTCCAAGTCTAGTTGCCATCCGGCCGCCTGGCGGCAGCTCAGGACAACTCAGCTCAAAGTGCTGTGTTCAATCTTAGTTGCGGGTGAGCATAGCCTACCCTCCCATGTGAGAGTCAAACCGGCATCCTTGTTGTTAGGGGCACGTGCTCTCACCAGCTGAGCCATTCTGCCATCTCTTGACAGCTCAGCGGCAGCTTGGCTTGGGCGCAGCTCACTGGCCCATGTGGGAATTAAACCGATGACCCTGTTGCTCAGAGCTCGTGCTCTTAACCAACTGAGCCTCTTGGCTGGCCCAAGAAAGTAGTTTTGATAATGGGCCTTCGGTCATGTAATAGTATAATGAATTGCCTGTTGGATGTACTCTTTTCAGGTTACAGCCAGGGGCTTTGCCCAGTATGAGCTCTTGAAGTCCACTGCCTTGGATGACATAGTTCCTGCGTCACAGACTACTGTCACTTTGGACATTTCCTGGAGTCCTGTGGATGAGATTCTTCAAATTCCTCCACTCTCTTCAAATGCAACTCTGGTAAGCACGAACCCACATTTCTGTTGCTGCGTTTAATCAATGTAGGTTTACTTTTAACTTGCTTGTTGCTGATGCTGCATGCTTTCAATTCTAGCCCCAGCCCTCTCTGAGCTCTGAAAGGCTCAGCTGTCCCCCTGAAGTATCACCAGGGCAGCCAGTAGAGGTTTGGCCAGGTGATCTGATCTATCAGTTGCCCACAGTGCTGCAATCATGTAACTTAAGAATTTTCCAGTGAAGTTGGGACACAAGTGAAATCATCAAACTGACTTACCATCTCTGCTATTCTTAGAAGAGTGCAGATATTGGCAACACATCACGGATCATATTATTAAAAGCCTTTTCACCCTATATTTACATTTCTAGGAATCTGTCTTAAGAAATTAATCAGAATTGCTAGCAAATCTATACTGGGGGTGCCAGAAAATATATATACACATTTTAAGAGATGTTATCTATGTAGTACTTTTCAAAGTTGAATTGAATTATGGTAGCAATGTGTTGTATAACATTCATTCAAAAGGTGGCGTTACTAGTGTCACCATAGGACAGGCAGGACAGTCAAAGAAAATGGCGGAAGCACAGTTGTTTGAGGAGCTCAAGACCATTTTGAAGTGGTATTTGAAATTCGAGAACGTTGTGGAAGTACAGCGACAATGGAGGTGTGAGTATGCAACAGAACCTCCAACACACCTAACAACTGCACACATTTGTGATAAGTTTGAGACGCATGGTGCTGTGTGAAGAAATTGAAACGGCATGCACAGCGATACAGGTGGGCACTTTGGTCAACGTTATTCAAGCAGTAGTTCGCCGTAATCAGAAGTGTCTGAACGCTGTTGGTAACCACTTTGAGAACGTCTTGTAATTGCAGAAGTCAAACGTGACTTGTGTTCATCTTCTGTTATCGGTATATATTGAGTATTACAATATAATATAGTTGTCCTTTCTTAAAATGTGTATACATTTTTTGGCACCCTCTGTATGTAGGAAGATCTTCATGGTAATATAGCTGTGTTTCCAAACTATTAAAAACAAACCCTAGATGTTCAATAGGGAAAAGATTAATAGATTTCCATGATGAAATATACATTCTTTAAAAATCACTATTTAATCTTTAATGATAATAAGAAATGCTTATATTTAAGCAAACCAAAGGAAAAAGTACAACATTGGATATATAATAAGATCTCAACTATGTTTTAAAAAAAATGTATACAAAGAAGCCTGGATAGTATTAACAGTGGTTCCCTCAGGGTGGTGGAATTATGGATAATTATATTATTTTTTTTTTTAAAGATTTTATTGGAGAATTGGGGGAGGAGAACAGTGTTGGGGAATTGGGGAAGGGGAACAGACAAGTTGTTGTTCTTCAGCCTTTGTTATGAAGGGCGCCAGTCGCCATCTGGTTTCTCGTCGGCAACTTGTGGCCTCTAAGCTCAAGGTGCTGTGTTCAATCTAAGTTGCGGTTGGGTGTAGCCACCTTCCCATGCGGGAGTCGAACCAGCAGCCTTGTTGTTAAGAGCGCATGCCCTATCCACTGAGCCATCCAGGCGGCAGCTCAGCTCAAGGTGCTGAGTTCAGTCTTAGTTGCGGATGGGTGTAGCCCACCAGCTGAGCCATCTTGCCACCTGGTGGCAGCTCAGTGACAGCTCAGCTCGGGCGCAGCGTCACTGGCTTATGTGGGTATCAAACCGGTGGCCCTGTTGCTCAGAGCTCGCATTCTTATGCCAAATCTAAACCAACTGAGCCACTCGGCCTGCCCAGATAATTGTATTCTTAATGCTTTTCTTTTCTTATAACAGGAATTTACCTACAACAGAATTTACTTTTTTATTTTTTTTCCCCACCCTCCCTCTTTTTTTAAAAAAATGTCTTAGGGTTGTAAAACTTGACCTCCAGTTAGGACAGCACACTGTTGTTTAGTTAGAAGGAATCTAATGGACATGTGTATGGGGAGAAGGGTATTTTTGGTGTATGGTAATGCTAAGTTTGTCATTGAATCTTTCTTTTTTTTTTTAAAACCTCCGTTGGGTTCAACTGATCTCACAGATTCATTGCACACAAAGATGCCACTATGAAATATGTCTTTACTAAGTCACAAACACGACTGGCGATAGGTTACGGTAGAGGGGGAAGATATGGAAGTGATGAGTGATAATACTTAAGTTAACTGTTAGATATTTGAAGTTGCTCCCAATGGAGAGTTAAAGACTTTATTGGGGAAGGGGAACAGCCCCGTTGTTGTCTTTCAATCTTAGTTGTGGAGGGCACAGCTAGCTCAGCTCCAAGTCCAGTTGCCGCCCATTGGCAGCTCATGGCTGCTCAGCTCAAGGTGCAGTTTTCAATCTTAGTTGCGGCGGGTAGGAGGGGTGGGGGGACGGTGTAGCCACCATCCCATGTGGGAATCGAACCTGCAGTCTTGTTGTTAGGAGCACGTTCTCTCACCAAGTGAGCCATCCTGCCACCTCTTGGCAGCTCAGGGGCAGCTCACCTCGGGTGCAGCTCACCGGCCCATGTGGGAATCGAATTGGCCACCCTGTTGCTCAGAGCTCGCGCTCTTAACCAACTGAGCCACTTGGCCGGCCCCTGTCATTGAGTCTTGAGATATATTTCTCCTACTTGTCCTTTGGAAATTAAGTGGGAGAGTGCAGGACAGCAGTTGTCCCATATAGGTATAATTGTGGTATATATATATATAGAGAGAGAGAGAGAGAGGATGTGGTAGCCTGAATTTAGGTTACTGCATTTATTGCATCAGGATGGGCAGGATCTATGATATCTCTGAGTATCTCTAAATGAAGTATTGCCCTCCTTTTTCAATTCATTAATGCTTTATGAAATATATTTTTAATGTGTGGGTAGTTTGAAATTCATGTTACTATGACCCTTATGCCAAGAAGATGGGATTACCAGTGAAAACTGACTTTGGGAATTTTTTAGAATATTAAAGTGGAATCAGGAGATCCCAGAAGTCCTTTGAATCACCTTCACAGAGAACTGAAATTTCTCCTTGTGAGTATCCTTCTGGAATTTGTATCTTGCGTTAAATCTTATTTTTCCATACAAATGTTTGCTAATATCATTGTATTTTGTTTTGTATTCTTCAAAATTTGTTCCAAATGTTATGTATGCAATTTGGACAATTTTACTATGGGGTACTTGTCCTTACATTTAAAGAAAGCATTAGTTAGATAGTTAATAGCTACAGTTCTTCTGCCTTTGCTATTGGAGTGTTTGGTTTTTATTTATATGATGGATTCGCCTCTTTCCAGGTGGGTTAGCTGCCAATTTATTTTAAATGCACATGTAATCTGTTTGGTAATAACTTGGGTTTTGATTGATGCTAAAGATTAATGAGCATGTGCTTCAAGAATTTTATGTTTCAGTAATTTTAGCTCCACTCTACAAATTGAATCTCAAGGGGGTGCCTCATTTTAATGCAGTAGAAATTCCAAATGTCTTAGCCTGGCATACAAAGCCAGTTGTATTCAGTCACTGCCTTACTTATTTTCTTATTTCTTTTTTTTAACAGCTTTATTGAGATATAAATTACATCCCATAAAATTCACTTGTTCAGTAGTTTTTAGTATACTTAAAGAGTTGTACAACCATGACCATATTTAATTTTAGAGCATTTACATCACCCCCAAAAGAAATCCCATACCCATTAGCAGTTACCTCCCACCCCCATTGGCCCCTGGCAACCACTAAGGTACTTTCTGTAGTGCTTTATTCCTTTTTATTGCTGAATAGCATTCAGTTGTATAGCTACACCATATTTTGTTTATCCATCCATCAGCTGATGGACGTTTCAGTTGTTTCTATTTTTGGGCTATTTTAAGGAATGCCGCCGTGAATAATCATGTACATGTTTTTGTGTGGCATATCTTTTCAGATCTTTTGAGCGGAGTTGCTGGGTCATAGGTTTAACTCTATGTTTGACCTTTTGAGGAACTCCCAAACTATAACTGTTTCCAAAGTGGCTACATCATTTTCTATTTATACCAGCAGATTATGAGGGTTCACTTTCTCCATATCCTTGCCAATGCTTGCTATTATGTTTTTGTTTTGTCTTTGTTTTGTTTTTTATTATAGCCATCCTAGTGGGATGAAGTAGTGTCTCGTTATGTGGCATTTCCCTGATGGCTAATGACATTTAGCACCTTTTCTTGTTCCTATTGGCACCTACTTATTTCTTTAGCTTAATCTAACACCCTGCTCCCACTACCCTTGAATTTCCAACCCTTGAAATATTGAGTTTCCTGCTTGTAGTAGCTCTGATCATGTCACACTTTGTCACTTTCTGGTGTGTGTGTCTTGCTCTGCCTGGTGTGCCCTTCTGCCACCTCTTTGCTGGGTGAGCTCTCTGTGACATCTTCCCCAAGGCTGATTGCACTGATCCCGCAGAACGGCTTATGCTACCTGTGCTTGGGCTCATATAGAAGTCCACACATACCTCCTGTCAAGGTGTTTACCAAACATAGTAATTTGTTTACTTACCTGTCTCCCTTACTAGACTTCAATGCCAGGTATCTGTTGTGCCTTCAGCATCTAGTTTAGTACCAAGCATTCTGAATACTTTTTCCTCCTATTATTGTTATTTCCCTGTTTGTACAAAATTTGGTACTTTTTCTGCCTTTCTCACCTTTCTTCTTGAAAGTTCCTCTTTCAGGACCATTGATGTGGGCTGCCATCATACTTCTACCCTCATGTCCTTGCCCTTCTCTCTCCAACCTGGCAGAGACTTCATATATTCAGTGGTTTGACTAATGCCTTTATAAGGGAATGCCAGATCCCTTCTTTAAGCTGATACCAGTTCCCATCTTTCTTATTTCCATCAAATTATTTCCAACTTGAGTAGAGTGCTATGGCCTCAAATTTAATATGTCCAAAATGAAACATGAAATCTTCTCTAGACTAGATCTCCAGACCAGGAACCCCTGTCTAATGGATTCCTTCAGTTTCATTTATATAGTTTACTCTTGAACAACATGGGGGATAAGGACGCTGACTCTCCCCAACCCCCCTGCCCCATAGTCAACAATCTGAGTTTAACTTTTGACCTCCCATAACTTAATTAACTTAGTTACTAATAGCCTACTGTTGACTGGAAGCCTTACTGATAACATAAATAGTCAATTAACACATATTTTGAATGTTACATGTATTATACTATATTCTTACAATAAAGTAAGTTAGAGAGAAGAAAATGTTAAGAAAATCATAAGGAAGAGAAAATACATTTATTGTATTTATTGAAAAAAATCTGCATATAAGTGGGCCCATGCAGTTCAAACCCGTGTTGTTCAAGGATAAACTGCATTTTACTTAGTAAGAACAGCTAGAAGCTGCCACTCTACTATGTGCCAAACATGTGGTGCTAGATGGTTCAGTTATTTTGCCTGAGGTGTCAGCCTCTGGTAAGCGGAAGAACTGGTTCAAAACTCATTCAAATACACATCTGTCTCTCTGACTTGAAAGTTCATGCTTTGTTATAATCTCCCTTATAAATTCACAGAATTTTAGATGTGCACACAGTCATAGTCTCTAAGTTCAACTCTATATTTTTATAAATGGATAGGATTTGTTTTTCTTTTATTTTGTATCTGTCTCTCTCCCCCTCCCCCGCGCCCTCCCTCCCTCATACATTGTTCTTCCTTTCAAGTTTCTCTCCCTGTGTTCATCCTGGTTAAAATCTTATCACCTCCCTCCTGGACCACTCTAATGATCATTCATTGTTTCTCAACAGGGACACTATGATCATTTGGGGCAGGACCATGCTTTGTGGTTTACGATCCTTGTACACCTTGCAAAATGTTTAGCATCCCTGGCCTCGACCAAATTAAATGCTCAAAGTGCTCCTGTATCCCCAGCCATTGTGACACCAAAAATTATCTGCACATTTTGCCAAACACCTCCTGGAGGTAGAGATTGAGGTCACTTCTATTGAGAAACATTGTACTTTCTCTTTTCCTTAGAGTCTATCCAGGGTATTTCTGATGAGGAATCCTTCATTTTTTCTGCACCAAAATCAACAGTGGCTGTTGTCGTCCATGTGAAATTAACAATCTTATAAAGTTTTAAGATCGCTATTCCTGTCTAGCCCCTGCTCCTTGTAATCTTCTTTCCCAGTGTTCCCTCCACCTTGGTTAGAATCATCCCATGCTCTTCATCTCACTCCCTGCTCCTTCCCAGCTCTTAGCTGATGCTTCCCACATTTGAGTTGGAGTTGAGCTGAGGTTTCACATTGTACCCATGGCTAGTCCAGCCTATCTTGACCCCCCTTCCTTAGTATTTTGTTTTAGATATTATATATATAGGCAAAGGCATTTATATTATTTTTGTATAAACTTCCATTTAGTTACTTTATCTGTATTATCTGTCCTTCATAACCCACATTACAAGTATCTTCAGAGTGGGCTCATCAGTCTTGGATCCTGTAGCATCTATGCACAGGGCATCATAGTTCAGAATACGATCTTTGGATGTGTGCCCTGGTACTGTCAGTCACTAATTGCATGACCTCAAGCAAGTTACTTAACCCCTCTTAGCCTCAATCAAGTGGAGGTAAATATTAATATCTGCCTCACAGAGTTTTTGTGAGGATTAAATAACGTACTACATATGAAACACTTAGAACATATGTAATTAAACATTCAAGAAATATTATTGCAACTATTATGATTAATATTAAATATATCCTTACTGATTAAACTGTGTTTTCTACTAACCAGCTTTTGGGCTTTTTAAATCTCCCGTAGGTTTTGGCTGATGGTTTGAGGACTGGAGTTACGGAATGGCCTGCACCTCTGGAAGTGAAACCTGCTGTTGAAGTTGTGCAGGAATTCTTGAATGGTGTTTGTTTTCTTGATTCACACTCTGCATTGTTTGTTTTTCTTAATTGGGAGTTTATACTTGCTATCTTTAAATATAAGTTGTCTTTTTAGGCTTAGTATTTTGTTGGGTTGGGATATATGAGGTCTGTCATGGTCAGAAGGACAGCTTTCATTCTAAATTGCTAATGGTAACAGCCTAAGTAATTTTAAGAATAAGGTCTAATCTAAAATTTATATACCACAACCATATTTGAGATTGTAGGAGAGGAGGGATGGAACAGTAACCTGTGAGCACCTACCATGTACCCAGTATTGTATGTCAGGGGCTCTCCCTGTACCTCGGTTCATCCTCACCCCCCCTACCTGGTGGGTCTCTATTATGACTTCCATCGGAGAGTTAAGTAATTGGCTAAAATCTCCAGTTATACTTTTACTGTCCTTATTTGCCATTTGAAAATAGAATCAGGTGGGAAATAGTTTGGAAAGCAGAAAAATAAAATGGAGAATTAATAAGCTTTTGCCACTTTCTAGACTTAAATAAGCTGGATGGATTTGATGGTTCTACAAAAAAAGACACAGAGGTAAGTGGGTTGCTATCAGTTAGAACTATGCACTGAAGTCACTTTTAAAATGTGATTATACTGTTATCTTTCATGCTGTACCATCCATGTCAAATGGATCTGTACAGCGGAGGCAGTGTTTTGAGGGTAGTTTTTTTTCTTGGTCTTTAATGTCAGCACTGGTGATTATTTTTCTTAAGAGCTGATAAATATTTTTAAAGCAAACTAATACATATGTATTATTAATTGCTCAACTGCAGAGAAGTAGAAATGAATATGTTAATATACTATAACATGCTATTACTTTAGTATATTAATATAAGACAGCATGTTAAATGCTAGAGGTGGTATTATTAAACTAATTGTGTTGTCATTTGACAAATAGGAAGATGGAGACAACAGTAATTTAGTTAAATATTTTTATATGAAGAAAAGCTGATGCTTGCTGTTAAGCATCACAATTTTAAAACAATTTTAGGGGCCCAGTTTTTCACTGTCTATTGATTTGTGCCTCTTTCTTTGTGTGTGATCATGGATCTGTATTTTCTAAGAATAGCATTTGAAAGCTTATTGGCCTTAAATTATTTTCCTTTTTAAAAAAGTTAAACTGAGTATTCTCTGACGCTTTTTTTTCAGACAGTGAAGCATGACAGTGCTGCATTTGATCGTTCCATCGAGTGTCTCTTTACAGTACGGTGTGATCTCGATTTTGTTGAGCAGCTGTGGTGCAAAATGAGTAGTAGTAGGTGTCCATCAGGATTGTAAAATAGAATTTTTCCTGTTACTTCTTAGGTTTACTTTTAATTAAGTCTTTTGGAAATAATACAGTGTGTACTACTAGCTTTGTATGAAAGTTGGTTCCTGTTTTACAAATTGATTTCTAATATTGCACTGGCATATCCTGCTCAAAAATTGTACTAAAACAAGACAATTCGTAGAATCTATTTTTTTCTCCTGCCTTAAGTATATGACTTAGGTGGTTTTCATACTGTGTATATGAACCAAAACATACCTTAATGAAAGAACAATTATTAGAAAAAGGAAAAGATATTCCTTAATATTTTACTAAGTGTGTTATTTAGTGGCAGTTTAATTTCTTTCTTTAGAAATGCATTAAGTCTTTTCTTTTGCCTTTTTCTTCCTCTTCGCCCATCCATGAAGTATAGATACTTGTCTTCCACTTCATTTGTGTATACTTAAGATTAATGACATATTTGATCTGCAGAAATACCATCAAAATAATGTTAGACTGACTTGTTTTTCAAGGTGTGATTTCATATCAAGACTTGGTGAAGTGTTTCACGTTGATCATCCAGAGTCTACAACGTGGTGATATACAGCCATGGGTAAGTTTAGTATTGCGTGTTAGAATTTTCTCAGAAAAAGCACTATGGTTAAGAACACAGGCTCTGGAATATGCTGCCTGAGTTTGAATTCCGGCCCTGAGACTTACAGCTATCTACTTCTCTGTGCCCCAGTTTCCTCATCTGTAAAGTAGGAGTAGAAATAATACTACTTCATAGTGTTGTTTTAGGATTAAATAATTTAATTCATGTAAAACACCTTGCTCATAGGTAAGTGCTCAATATTTGTAAGCTACTAATATTGTCATTGTTACTGTTGCTGTGAATGATAATTCTCATATACAAATTGGAATACTCTAAAAAGCAATTTTGATAATGATCCTCAAAATGCCACGTGAATCAATAATTCTTTTGTTAGGATCCATCTTAAGCTGATACACAGAAGTACGTATCAAGATTTTATGTATCAGAGTAGTCATTAAAGCCTTGTTTATGGTAGCAAAAAATTTTAAATGATCTAAGTTTCTACTATTGATGGAATAACTAAGTAAATAATATAACCACAGACTACTACATGCTAAAAATGATGCTGACAGATGATGTGGAGAAATGCTTCTCATGTTCAGTAAAAAGAAAGGAGGAGTATATACTATTAAAAAAATGTACATTTTGGGGAGAAAAACCTGGAATCAAATGCTAAAATGTTTTAGCAATCACCTCTGGAGGTAGGGTTACGAATTAGTTTTTCCAACTGCATTATACATTTCCGTACTTCATGAATTTTCTATAATCTATTCGTGCTTTTATAATCAAGAAAAAGGTAAGTAAAAAGCTAGAAACAGAAATATTCCTCATTTAATAGGAATTATTTTAAGTAATGTGGCTGCCAATTCATGGCTATAAAACTTTGAAACTTTCATAGGTGTGAACTAAGATACACTCCAGAGCAAAGGCATGAAAATTCTGCCCCTTAATTGGGCATTAGTGATTCTAGGCATTGTAGTCTTGGCCATTGAATTTTTTTCTTGCGAGTTTCTGTGTTTGTGAAGGGTTTACAAGTATATCTCTACCATGTGCAATGAGTGCAAACAAAGTGGTAATAGTTTTAAAAAAGAAAGTGCAAAAGATTGTAATGAAAATTAGAGATAATGGACAGTGGTGAGAAAATATAAAATATTTTAGGTATGTTTAAAATTGTTTAACATTTGGAACACTGTAAGTTCACAGCTTTTTTTAATTTGTAAAAATCAAGTTAGTATGTTGGATATTGTAGCCAATAAGGACACATGCATAGACCATAGAGGGAGAGTTTTCCTGTAGCAGCGGGTTTTCAATGTAGTTGAAGATGTTCAATTGGGAAAAGATGCCAGATAGCACTTAGCCAGGAGAAGAGAATTCCTAGTTATAAAGCTTCAAAAGACCAACTCTGCCTTCTCTTTGATGGAATTACATCTGGGGGTGATAAGTTTAAACCCTTCTTAATTGCTTTGGACTTGAGCAAATGAGTCAGGAATGGCATGTTAGAAACCGTGTGTAACTTGGGGGCTTTTATTCAAACTATTTATAGTATCAGGGGACTAAAGATGCAAGCTTACAATTTTTAGTTTGTAGCTAATGCAGTTTGCTTCTCTTTTGCTTATGAATTTATTTATGGTTTCATAAACTTTTCTTGATTTCTAGCTCCATAGTGGAAGTAACAGTTTACTAAGTAAGCTCATTTATCAGTCTTACCATGGAATCATGGACACAGTTTCTCTCAGTGGGACTATTCCAGTTCAGATGCTTTTGGAAATTGGTTTGGACAAACTAAAGAAAGATTACATCAGTTTTTTCATAGGTAAGTCCCTTTCCCAGCTCAAAAAATTAAAAAGTACATCACAGTTATCAGCCAATAGGTATTCTCAGATTTTATCTTTCTACTTGTCCCTAGTAGTCTTGGCTTTGGCCCTGGTTCTCTAGACCTTTAGTTTCCCCCTCAGTAGACAGATTAGAGATAATTATAGTTTTTATTTGCTTGTTTGTTTTTAGATTAAAGTTTTTGAGATTCTAAGAGGTTAATGTAGTAAATAATAACCCTTTTATGAGATGCTACTTTAATACCCAACACTTGGTTGTTTTTATTAGGCCAAGCTGTGATCATTTTTAGAGTAAATACTGGCATATATTTATAGTGTAATGTGCCAAAAAATTTGACCGTTTCGGAGGAACAATGAGCTTGAAGATCTCTTTTACATATGAACTATGAACATTTTTACTTAGGTTCCTTAACATGTAATTGACAATACCTAAAGCTTACATGTTTTTTCGTAATAGGTCAGGAACTTGCATCTTTGAATCATCTGGTGAGTTTATTTTTTTATTCAAAAGTTAATTTTTCTTTTATTTATTTGTTGTGTATATAATTATTAAATGCCTAATCTGTTTTCAGCCTCTGTCCTAGGTCCTGGAAAACAGATAAATTAGACAGTTAATGGCCTTAATTACTACTGCCTAGTAAGATAGACAAAAAAGTAGCCCATTTAGTGTCATTTCTCATTCTCTATAAATTTATGATGCTCACGTATAGTTGTATCCTGCTCAAGCCGATGTACTCCCATAACTCTCGTTTATCTGAAGTGATTAGGGAATCCCTTTCTTTGATAGGCCCTATAAAGGAATTTTTGCTTTATATTCTTTTGACCCTTTTCTAGTATACACAAATTTCAAAGAATTTATGACATTCTTTAATATATTGATTCAAAAGAGACTTGTGGGTTTCAGGGTCATGATTACAAGTTTTTGTATTTTTCTAGTGTCTTGATTTAGAAAGTTTAGTAGGAGATTGAATAGCATCTGTACTGACCCTTGACAGTCATTGGAAGATCCTTTTAGAAATTGAATTTGTAGTATCAACTTGTTTGTCGTTTGTCTCTTATAAAAATACAAGGTAGAGGGCCGGCTGAGTGGCGCGATGGTTAAGAACTCGCTTGGGATGCCAGAGGGCCCCGGTTCGGATCCCACATATGAGGGCCAGTGACACTGC